TCTCCTTCTTCTTCTTCTTCTTCTTCTTCTTCTTCTTCTTCTTCTTCCTCCTCTTCTTCTTCTTCTTCTTCTTCTTCTTCTTCTTCTTCTTCTTCTTCTTCTTCTTCTTCTTCTTCTTCTTCTTCTTCTTCTTCTTCTTCTTCTTCTTCTTCTTCTTCTTCTTCTTCTTCTTCTTCTTCTTCTTCTTCTTCTTCTTCTTCTTCTTCTTCTTCTTCTTCTTCTTCTTCTTCTTCTTCTTCTTCTTCTTCTTCTTCTTCTTCTTCTTCTTCTTCTTCTTCTTCTTCTTCTTCTTCTTCTTCTTCTTCTTCTTCTTCTTCTTCTTCTTCTTCTTCTTCTTCTTCTTCTTCTTCTTCTTCTTCTTCTTCTTCTTCTTCTTCTTCTTCTTCTTCTTCTTCTTCTTCTTCTTCTTCTTCTTCTTCTTCTTCTTTCTTTTTTCTCTGCAGATCTTTGCGATCTTCGCCTTCTCAACATGTGGAAGTTACTCCGGCATGTTCAAGATGAGCGTGGAGTGTAAAAACCGCTCCGAGAGTGATCTGGGCATAGAAGTAGAATTTGAATATCCATTCAGGTATGTAGTACACAGTAGTACACAGTAGTACACAGTAGTACTCCAGAACACCAAAACACTCTGCACTGAGCTGCGTTTACTCCTCTGATTTGTACCCTCGGGCCTTATGTTTAGCATCGTTGTTAAGCAATACATCCACTGAGGGGCAGTAATGAGCTAGAGTGAAAACGCCTGAATACGTCTCCTGATTAAACTGTGGCACAGACAGAAAAAATATTGAAATTAAAACTCATTTCCCTTGATGCATCGGCCCCCTGCAGGGCCCCGCCCCCCCACTTTGATGTCGACACTTTCACAGTAAAAGCCTTAAACTAAAACACTTGTTTACGTGTCGTTCTCTCTCTCTCTCTCTCTCTCTCTCTCTCTCTCTGTTCTTCAGACTTCATCAGGTTTACTTCGATGCTCCCACCTGTAAGGGAGGGAAGCCCGAGCGTCTCTTCCTGGTCGGGGACTACTCCTCCTCCGCGGAGTTCTTTGTCACCATCGCTGTCTTCTCCTTCCTGTACTCCATGGCAGCCATGTCTGTGTACTGTTTCATCCTGGAGAAGTACCGTGAAAACAACAAAGGCGCTCAGATCGTGAGTTTCATCACAGACGGTCTCGTGTTCATGGGTCAAAACTGATTTTTTGTTTTTATGAATAAAGATGACTTTCCTTTGTTTTCCTCGGTTCCCAGGACTTCGTGGTGTCGGCCGTGTTCGCCTTCATGTGGCTGGTGTCTTCCTGTGCTTGGGCCAAAGGTTTGTCAGACGTGAAAACGGCCACTGATCCAGAGAAGGTCATCACGCTCATCGCAGCCTGTGAGGAGCAGGAGAACCGCTGCCGCGAGGTGCACGACCCCAAGGTCTCCGGTCTCAACACTTCTGTGGTGAGTTCTACATGGAAACATGTCGTTTCAGCCAAATCTGGTCAAGTGAATGACTCCAATACATAACACAATGGTACGCTCGCTTGTAATACAATCAAATGCTAAGTTGCTAACTGCTACAAATAAAGCAAAAAAAATGCTAACTGGCTAACAGCTAATATATTTTACACCATACGGTTAAAGACGCATACTGTATGTATTTAGCTAGGAAAAAACGTACCACATTTTAACATAAATGTCAATATGGAAATGTTTATTCTTGGTCTAAATCAGTTTTTATTGAATTCAATACTCTGTAAGGTCTTATTATTAATATTATTATATATATAATATTACTATTGTTGTTATTATATATATGTATATAATTATTGCCAGACTCACGCCTGCCCCCTTTGGTGTGGCCTGGTATTGTACCCCACTTTCATATTTTCTTTAGAGTCTAAACTAAGATCAGCAGGACACAATATTTAATTAAATTTGATTAAAAATATCAGAGGGAGAGTTGAAGTCAGGTAGAAGTTTCTTTCCCGCCACACGTGGCTGCAGGAGCTAAACAAACGTTGACGTGTTGTTGGAATAAACATCTGCTCCTTCTCCCCCGCAGGCTTTTGGCTTCATCAACCTGATCCTGTGGCTAGGAAACCTGTGGTTCGTGTTCAAGGAGACCGGCTGGATGGCCGCCTTCTCTGGGACATACGTCGCGTCGCAGGAAAAGCAGCCTGCCCCCGACTCCTTTGGCCAGGGGGGCTACGGTCAGCAGGACCCCTACGCCGGCTCGCAGGGAGGGTACCAACCCGAGTACGGCCAGCAGGGCGGCTACACCGAGGATGGTGGTTACACCCAGGGCTATGAGCAGCAGCAGCCCACCTCCTACTCCAATCAAATGTGAGCCCGCCCACCCAGACCACAGCCGTAGGATGGTGAGTTCAAAGGTTTGGACCTGATTTTATTGTACACTCAGGATTTAGCCATGTGGGGGCGCTGATGCTTAAAAAATATCTGTACTTTTAAAGTTCACCATTTATAAGTTTCACTGCTGTCGTTGCTGCCTTTGGTAATTCCTAAATATGGAGGCAGCTGCAGGAGCGACGCCGCGCAGCTCTGTTCCATTCCACACATACTTGATGTTTGTCCAGCCAGAAAAACTAAAGATAGGCAGAAAGTTCAGCCTCCAAACCTGGAATTCATCACTGACTAATAGTTTAGAACTCAACAGAAGCCACGACGTTACATTTATTGAGACTCTGATCCACGAGCTGAGACGTAAAAGTCATTGTTAGTAAATGGACGTGGGAACAGATCAGAGAAACGAGGATCATGTGACGCTGGAATAGAAGATTCTAAAGTTCAAATCTCATCGTTTCATCTTTAATTTACGGAGTAACACGCAGGAGGTGAAGTAAAAAGACATTTCTACTGTACAACAGACCATGAATGCATCGCTCTCTGCCTCCCAGAATGCATCACTTGTGTGTTACTACCCGTTAACACGTTCCTCTTAAGGCGGAACCGTGACATTATCAGTGAACTTTGCATCTTTTTTAAACATGTAATGATGTTTTGGTCCATTTTGTAATGACAAGTTTTGGTTTGAAAATATGAATATATAACTTAATTTTTTTTTGATAATTTAGCAGAATTTAAATCAGCAGAGAATTGAATCATAAAAATATGAATATATAACTTACATTTTTTTTGATAATTTAAATCAGCAGAGAATTGAATCATTAAATATTTATATTAATGTTAAACTGTAACTAAATACTATATCACTTTTATCAGTCAGTGTTTCAACTCTGAGAAAATATTACTGTTATAAATATATACAGTACTTTTTACATAGTACTGTATGTGTATCTGACACGTTTTTTTAATTTTTTTTAATTGGTAAGTAAAGTGATTTCATGTTTGCTTTTCTAATTATGTCTCCCCTTGTCTCTCTTTTCTCCCCCCTCTCAGGGTGACTGCTTGATTTTGGAGTGTGTCTGTCGACCGTCGCCTGCATTTCCACACTCCTCTGTTGTCTGTTTGTGTATCTGTGAGTTGACAGACGAGGGGAGGGGGGAGGCAGGAGGGGGACACAGTAGTTGGGAGCAGGCTGGGGAAAATGCACCAGGGCAGAGTCGTCAGGGTGAGGGTGGGGTGGGAGGATCAGGGTGGTCTTTTCTGTAACATGATGTTTATTCTCGTGCTGTATTTAACTGTCGAAGACAAGCGCGGATTGTCTGTTTGGTTATACGAGAAAAACTTGAATACAAAAACCAAAACATTTAAGAGAAAACCCTATCACGGAGAATTTATAAAAATGAAACGGAACAAAAAAAAAACATTTGAAATAAATAAATTGTAGTAATATTTAAGTCGGGAGAATGTATTTGTCAGTGCTGTGTTCATATCAACCTGCAGTTCCGCGTCCACGGTTGAATAATTGTGCACTCCATGTTAGTTGTTATACAACGAATGTTGAGCACAGAGTTATTCAACTGCATCACCTTGGTTGTTGTTGGTTTGTTGACGTTTCATCTGCAAATATTCACACCATCCTGGGTCGGTTTTTTAAAATTTATTTTAGAACCACACTTTTTTTCCCTTTTAATAGAAGACCGTTGGGAAGTCTTTAGAAACGAGAGGAATTACAAGGCGAGAAAATATAATAAGTGGCTTTTTTTTTTTTTTTCCTTTTTTTCGCGACCCCGTGTTGTACACAGAACTGGTTTCATCCTGACATGAAAACCTCCAGTACGGTCCGTAGGGTTAAGAAACGTAGTGAGCATGGTAGCAACCCGTGTTAGCTGTGCTCTGTAGCGTGCTATCAGTACGACTTGTGTGAATCAGGGCAGAAAAAAACCCATCATTTTAGAAGTGTGTGTGTGTATGTGTGTGTGTGTTTGTTTGTTTCCATTCCGTCAGTGAATCTGGTCTCGTTTTTTTGGGGGGAATCGCCCTTTTATGTAGTCCACAAGTTGAAGACAGAGTCATATATAGTTTTTTAAACAGGTGTTTCTGAGATATTGAATTCAGTAATATATACAGACAGACGTCCTAGCATTAACATGAAGATGTACACGACAACGACTTATACTACACCTACGGCATCTTTATAGTATCTCTGCAGTCTAAACTGTGTACTGTACGTCCTCCTGCATCTCCAGTCCTTTTTTAAAAAAAAAAGTTAAAAAAAAAAATTTCTGTCTTCAAAGAGTAATGGACTTAATGCATGCATCTTCCCACAGTGCGTCCAACAGCATTTGTGGAAATCTTTGAGAGGCTGCAGGAAAGCGTTAAACTGGTTCACAGTGTTCCCTCCGCCGCAGCTCTGCTATATTCTACTTAAAGCACAACGCCAGTGCTGCAATAATGACTTATTTCCACACATAGATCCGCCTGTCTCACTGCCAGTCCGTCGGATCGATCGTGCTGCTGCTAATTGAGCAGAAATGTTTTCTGAAGCGGAGGTGTTGCAACCGCCAGTCCTCGTCTCGACGAACTGTCCTCCACTCTCAGTATAATGAATCATCGCACAGGCCTGGTTGACTCCTCCGTTTCTCAGTAAAGGATCGGCGGTTGCGACAGCGTACATACATCT